TTTGCTCGTTTGACGCCAAAGCGAGGCCCAACCCCCGCCAGCCATGGAGCCCTTTAAACGAAAGGGGCTCGTTGCATTACCTCTGTCTGTCCGATCCCGTCCTGATAATCAATGTGGATTTCAATCTCAAGGGTCCATTCAGATGGGCGGACAGGCCGCTGCGTTGGGAACTGGACGCACTGTGAGCCGTGACATCTGTGGAATGTCACTGGTGCCAATGGTGTCCCCACGCATCTTGCAAACGCGGGTGCATTCACAGCCACCAAAACACGTGGTGCCTCAGCAGGGACAGGTCAAGGGGTGGGCAGGAGGGGCGGCTGCCCTGGGCACTGTGGTATCATGTGAGGTGGTGGGGGCACCACGAGAAGATGGGAGGGAGGGGGGAGGGGATTTGTGTTGGGAGGGGGAACTCGGGGGGAGAGAGGGGTAAAAATTGTTCTAGGAGCGGAAATTTGAGGAGGTGTGCCAGATTAGGGATTTGAGGGGGTTTGTGTTTGGAGGGGGGGGGGGGAGGATTTGTGCTGGGAGGGGGGATCTGGGGGGGGGTTTGTGATAGAAAAGGGGAAAGGGGAGCGACTGATTTGTGCTAGGAGGGGGAAATTTGTTTTGGGGGGGGGGAATTTGTGCTTGTAGAAATGATTTGGGGGAGGGTATTTTTTCTAGGAGAGGAAATTTGGGAGGGAGGATGTGCTCGGGGGGGATTTGGAGTGGTGGGAAATTTAACATTAGGTCATTTGTGCTGGGGGGGCATTTTTTTCTTTTTTGGGGGGGATTTGTAATTGTAGGGGTGATTTGAGGGGGTATTTTTGCTAGGAGAAGAAATTAGGGAGGGGGGATTTGTGTTGGGGGGGACTTGGAGTGGTAGGAAATTTAGCAGTAGGAGATTTGTGCTGGGGGGGATTTTTTTTCTTTTCGTGGGGGGATTCATGCTAGTAGGGATGATTTTGGGGGGGGGGTATTTTTGCTAGGAGAGAAAATTTGGGAGGAGGGATTTGTGCTGGGGGAATTAGTTTTTTTGGGGGGGGGGACTGTGCTTGTAGGGATGATGGAGGGGGGGTATTTTTGCTAGGAGAGAATATTTGGGAGGAGGTATTTGTGCTGGGGGGGGATTTGGAGTGGTGGGAAATTTAACATTAGGTCATTTGTGCTGGGGGGGCATTTTTTTCTTTTTTGGGGGGGATTTGTAATTGTAGGGGTGATTTGAGGGGGTATTTTTGCTAGGAGAAGAAATTAGGGAGGGGGGATTTGTGTTGGGGGGGACTTGGAGTGGTAGGAAATTTAGCAGTAGGAGATTTGTGCTGGGGGGGATTTTTTTTCTTTTCGTGGGGGGATTCATGCTAGTAGGGATGATTTTGGGGGGGGGGGGGTATTTTTGCTAGGAGAGAAAATTTGGGAGGAGGGATTTGTGCTGGGGGAATTAGTTTTTTTTGGGGGGGGGACTGTGCTTGTAGGGATGATGGAGGGGGGGTATTTTTGCTAGGAGAGAATATTTGGGAGGAGGTATTTGTGCTGGGGGGGGGGGGGGGATTTGGAGTGGTGGGAAATTTTAGCAGTAGGAGATTTGTGCTAGGGGGGGAAATTTTTTCTTTTTGGGGGGGGGATTCATGCTAGTAGGGATGATATTGGGGGGTATTCTTGCTAGGAGAGAAAATTTGGGAGGAGGGATTTGTGCTGGGGGGATTTTTTTTTTGGGGGGGAGGGACTTGTGCTTGTAGGGATAATTTTGGGGGGGTATTTTTGCTAGGAGAGGAAATTTGGGAGGGGGATTTGTGCTGGGGGGGGGTTTGGGGGGGGGGAATTGTGCTTGTAGGGATGATTTTGGGGGGGGGAGTATTTTTGCTAGGAGAGGAAATTTGGGACGGAGGATTTGTGCTGGGGGGGATTTGGAGTGGTGGGAAATTTAGCAGTAGGGGATTTGTGCTAGGAGGGGGATTTTTTTTTTGTTGGAGGGGAGGATTCATGCTTGTAGGGATGATTTTGGGGGGGGGTGGCTATTCTTGCTAGGATAAGTAAAAAATAAAATAAAAGCAATCAAAATAAAATAAATTAAATTATACATAGAATAAATAAATAAATAAATAAGTAAAAAACATAAAAGCATGCGAAATAAAACTAAAATAATAAATAAAATAAAAATGATAAAATCAAGAAAATAAAATAAATAAGTAAAAATAAAAGAGCACACACACACGAAAATAAAATAAATATGATGATAAATGAAATAAAAATGATAAAAATAAATAAATTAGTAAAAATAAAATAAAAGTATGCAAAATAAAATAAATAAAATTATAAATAAAATAAAAATTGATTAAAAAAAAAAATAAATAAAATAAAAATAAATACGCAAGATGATAAAAACAAATAAATTAGTAAAAATAAAATAAAAGTATATAAAAATTATAAATAAAATAAAAATTGATTAAAAAAACAAATAAGTAAAATAAAAATAAAATAAACACGCAAAATGATAAAAACAAATAAGTTAGTAAAAATAAAATAAAAGTGTGCAAAATAAAATAAATAAAATTATAAATAAAATAAAAATTGATTAAAAAAACAAAATAAATAAAAATAAAATAAACAAGCAAAATGATAAAAACAAATAAATGAGTAAAAATAAAATAAAAGTATGCAAAATAAAATAAATAAAATTATAAATAAAATAAAAATTGATTAAAAAAACAAATAAATAAAATAAAAATAAAATAAACACGCAAAATAAAAAAAAACATGCAAAATTGCATATTCGCAAAACACCAGGTATAAACCTAGCCATGCTGAACATAGCAGTGCTTGTTGGTCTAAATGAGGCTGCCCTGTGTGTGTGTGTGTGGGGGGGGGGTACAGATGAGACATATTCCGGTCAGGTAATTATTAACGCTGTAGGAGGGGATGATTACTGTGTGCTAATAAGCAGTAAGAGAGTGAACTCCGACCCCAGGGATGAGTCATGTGACCAGGGATATATCAGTGCAGTCATGGCCTGTTCCCCTCCTGGGAGCCCCCGTCCAGCGATGAGCGTATCAGCACACATGGGGAATTGCACGTAAAAAAACTTCACGACCGTATCAAGATTTAAGTGCTTACATTTTGTTCCCTCCCCCGTCATCCACAGGCTAATGAAGAATTAAAAAAAAAATAAAAAACCCTTTTCATGTTCATACCTTATTATAGACCCAATGATATCACCACTGGGTCTCTTTGCTTCTCTATGCAATGCAGGCTGATCATGGTTGGTGCTGGGGGCTGTACATAGCTTCCTGAAAAAAAATCAAAACGCCTTGCCTTATTCCGGCCATACATGGGTCAAAATTTGACCAATTTTGACTTTTTTTTTTTCTTATAAGAAAGAACTTCAGTTATGGTCAGTTTTCTGCATCTGGACACGGAAAGATGGCACCCCTAAGGCCGGCCATACATGGGTCGAAATTTGACCAATTTTTAGTCCAAAAATCAGACCTAAGAATAATCGGGTGATTTTCGCTCTGTTAGTGGGTCAATTTTCATGGTTCCTCCCCTTTTCAGTGATCGGTCATGTTGGAAAATTTGTGAAAAAAACTACCGATTTTCGACTCAATGACGGTCAAATCGTACGATCGTTTTTCTGAAAAGAATATGTGGATGAGCCGTGACCTGGAAGGAACAGAAGTTTCGCCTGTTATATGGGGTGAACTTTATGACTTGGTCGGCCGTTTTTCGAAATCATTAATGGCGCCATCAGATTACCAAGCGAACGATGTTTTCAATTTTCGGACTAAAAATAATTCGGAATTCGACCCGCGTATGGCCTGCATTAAAGTCAAAAGCTGCTCAAATCTATGCGACTTATGCGATTTTAAAGGGTTATTTTTTGTGTGTGTAAAATAACAAACATGTCTATACTTACCTGCTGTGTGCGGTGGTTTTGCGCAGAGCAGCCTGGATCCTCTTCTTCATGGGTCACCCGCAGGCCCCTCCCTCCTATTAAGTGCCCCCACAGCAAGCAGCTTGCTATGGGGGCACCTATTGCTCCTTGTGTCCATTCGCACACGGAGCCGCAGCTTGGCCCCGCCCCTTCTCTCTCCTCATTGACTGACTGGCTGTGATTGGCAGCAGTGGGAGCCAATGGCTCCCGCTTGCTTTCTCAGCCAATGAGGAGGCAGAGACCCTGGACTGCAGAGGCTGTCGTTTACATCACTGGATAAAAAAACATGTCTATACTTACCTGCAGTGTGCGGTGGTTTTCTGCAGAGCAGCCCAGATCCTCCTCTTCACAGGTCACCCACAGGCTCCTCCCTCCTGTTGGGTGCCCCCACAGCAAGCAGCTTGCTAGGGGGCACCTGTTGCTTCTTGTGTTCATTCACACAGAGAGCTGCAGCTTGGCCCCGCCCCCTCTCTCTCTTCATTGACTGACTGGCTGTGATTGGCAGCAGCGGGAGCCAATGGCTCCCGCTTGCTTTCTCAGCCAATGAGAAGGCAGAGACCCTGGACCACCAAGGCTATTGTTTACATGACTGGATAACAAACATCTCTATACTTACCTGCTGTGTGCGGTGGTTTTGCGCAGAACACCCCAGATCCTCCTCTTCACGGGTCACCCACAGGCTCCTCCCTCCTGTTGGGTGCCCCCACGGCAAGCAGCTTGCTATGGGGGCACCTGCTGCTCCTTGTGTTGGAATTCGACCCATGTTTGGCCTGCATTAGTACTCGTAAGAAGAGGCCACAGCAGTGGGAGGGGTTATGCAAATCTGCAAATGCCTTGGTGACTGGATGTCAGTCTGGAGGATCGAACGTTCCTAGGTAATGCCCTCACTTGAGCCTTCATAAAAGAACTGAAATTCGATGAATGAAACGGGCAGTCCAGGTACAGTCAATACGGGGAGGAAAGGTCTTGATGATGCTGGATGTCCCCTAGACAGGAAATGAGGCAGAGCTCTTCATGACTGGCTGCAGCTACCAATGCACATTATGAGAAGCTTGCAGTGTGCGGTGAAATCAGACGAAGCCATTTCAGTCCAGGAGAGGATCCGATACACCTGTGCAAGACTGGAGGGGAGGAGCCGGTACACCTGTGCAAGACTGAAGGGGAGGAGCCGGTACACCTGTGCAAGACTGCAGGGGAGGAGCCCGTACACCTGTGCAAGACTGAAGGGGAGGAGCTGGTACACCTGTGCAAGACTGCAGGGGAGGAGCCAGTACACCTGTGCAAGACTGTATGGGAGGAGCCCGTACACCTGTGCAAGACTGAAGGGGAGGAGCCGGTACACCTGTGCAAGACTGCAGGGGAGGAGCCCGTACACCTGTGCAAGACTGAAGGGGAGGAGCCCGTACACCTGTGCAAGACTGAAGGGGAGGAGCCGGTACACTTGTGCAAGACTGAAGGGGAGGGGCCGGTACACCGATGCAAGACTGCAGTGGAGGAGCAGGTACACCTGTGCAAGACTGAAGGGGAGGAGCCGGTACACCTGTGCAAGACTGAAGGGGAGGAGCCGGTACTCCTGTGCAAGACTGAAGGGGAGGAGCCAGTACACCAGTGCAAGACTGAAGGGGAGGAGCCGGTACACCTGTGCAACACTGCAGTGGAGGAGCAGGTACACCTGTGCAAGACTGCAGTGGAGGAGCAGGTACACCTGTGCAAGACTGAAGGGGAGGAGCCGGTACACCTGTGCAAGACTAAAGGGGAGGAGCCGGTACACCTGTGCAAGACTGCAGTGGAGGAGACGGTACACCTGTGCAAGACTGAAGAGGAGGAGCCGGTACACCTGTGCAAGACTAAAGGGGAGGAGCTGGGACACCTGTGCAAGACTGAAGGGGAGGAGCCGGTATACCTGTGCAAGACTGAAGGGGAGGAGCCGGTACACCTGTGCAAGACTGAAGGGGAGGAGCCGGTACACCTGTAGAAGACTGCAGGAGAGAAGCCAGTACACCTGTGAAAGACTGGAGGAAAGGCTGGAGGTCGGCTTGAACTCCCCCTTCTTGTCGTGTCTACAGAACAGGAAGTTAGGTTATTCTTCCCATGGGGACACAGATGGCAAAAAAAAGCCATAAAAATAGTTCTGTCTTTACATATACATTAAAATTGTCCTTAAAAATGTTAAAAGAGCCGAAGCGCCCACTTAGTAATTTATAGATCATTAAGGGAATTACCTCCAACTCTTCTCACCGCATTAGGAAGCAGTAATTACCCGGAGCGGGGGCGGGGAGATGGCTCTACGTCCCATTAATTCTAAGCACCAGGTATGTGCGACGGGCGTAAATCTCCCAGCGGGTTTAATAGGCATTTTACAAGCATCGGGGCGTCCCAGTCACATGACCTCATATCCGTCATCAATCACCCGCGCTGTGTCTTCTCCGATCTTAAAGCCACAAAAACCTTCAGAGATATATTCCTCAGCCGCAAAACGCAGAGATCCACTCTTGTGTGCCCCAAATCCCTTTACAAATCCAGATATGACCTTGTAAAAGTAGCAGTGACATCATCAGTGTGCCATACGTAACCTGTGCAGAGTGCAGAGCTGTGGGAGGGGTCGCAGCAGGCTCCACCCACTACAGGCTGCCTGTAGAAAGCTACAGGTGGGGGGGGCGGAGACAAGACCAGTCACCTTGCACAAGGAGAGAGGGGCAGCAGTGAGCGGTCTTTATTACAGGAAGTCTCAGACTGATTAATGCAGCCCATACGTGGTTCGAAATTCCGAACGATTTTTCATCCGAAAATCGAAACGTCGTTTGCTCTGTAATCCGATGGTGCCACCAATGTTTTCGAAAATTGGTCGTTTTTCATGAACTTTCCAGTATGCCCGATAAACAAAATGGGGAGGATCCACGAAAATCAGCCGATGCCATTGCCCCACTAACAGAGCGAAAATCGTCCGATTATTCTTAGGCCTGATTTTCATATGAAAATCGGTCGGATTTTGAACCATATATGGCCTGCATAAGGCTCCATTCACACTTGTGCGACTCCAAAGTCCTGCGATTTCAAAGGCGACTTTACATTGCGACTTCGGATGGGTGTGGCTTGGATGCAACTTTATCTGTTGACTTTGGACCTGTTCCCGCCCGGCCAATAGCAAAATGGGACTCTCTGCGATTCGGATGGGTGTCCTATGATTGTCCTTCTGGATCACGCCTTGCACATGCTGCATCAAGATCTGTGTACACAGCCAATGACAGATCTATGTACCGCCCTGTCGCCAGTACCATGTGATCGCTGTGGCCAATCACAGCAGGCCACATGACATTTGTAAACAATGTATGGCTTCCTTTCATGACATCCCTTGTACACAATTGGGCCACTCGCTGTGATTGGTCACAGTGATCACATGTACAGACTGAGACAATCACAGCCCATCTGTGTCTAGTGATTGGCCAATCACAGCTAATCACACAAAAAAAAAAATGATTTCATTCAGTTAAACACTTGCTTATAGCAAAGAAATTCTTTGCTATAAACAATCATAATGTGTAAAAAAAAACACACACAAAAAAAGATCACTTCCACGGAGTAGTACAATGTTACTATGGTAACATTATACTACTCTGGTCACAGGGCTTATGAAAAAAAAAAGAAAAAAAATAATTAAAAAAAAGTAAAAATTTGAAAAAATAAAAAAAAATGTTTTATTTTTTCTGTACTGTTACCAGCCAGTGTCCCTGATCACCGCCACACCAGTTGATGACACTGGACTGGACTGGTGACAGTATGTAAAAAAAAAAAGGAATTTTTGAATTTTTTGTTTTTTATTTCTTCACATTCCAAAAAGTTATGACAAAAAAATTACTACTTCAAAAAACTCACCATGCCCCTTAGTAAATAACTTGGACTGTCTACAAATGTGGAGAGAGAGGGGTCGGAGCCAAGCTGCGGCTCCGTGTGTGAATGGAGACAAGGAGCAGCGGGTGCCCCCATAGCAAGCTGCTTGCTGATTGGGCACCCAACAGGAGGGAGGAGCCTGCGGGGGGACCCATGAAGAGAAGGGTCCAGGCTGCTCTGCGCAAAACCACCGCACACAGCAGGTAAGTATAGACATGTTTGTTATCCAGTAATGTAATCGACAGCCTTGGCGGCCAAGGGTCTCTGCCTCCTCATTGGCTGAGACAGCAAGAGGTAGCCATTGGCTCCCGCTGCTGCCAATCACAGCCAGTCAGTCAATGAGGAGAGAGGGGGCGGAGCCAAGCTGTGGCTACATGTGTGTGAATGGACACAAGGAGCAGAAGATGCTCCCATAGCAAGCTGCTTGCTGGGGGGGCACCCAACAGGAGGGAGGAGCCTGCGGGGGACCCATGAAGAGGAGGGTCCAGGCTGCTCTGCGCAAAACCACCGCACACAGCAGGTAAGTATAGACATGTTTGTTATCCAGTGATATAAAAGACAGCCTTGGCGGTCCAGGGTCTCTGCCTCCTTATTGGCTGAGACAGCAAGAGGGAGCCATTGGCCTGGGTGACCGGGGGATGACATGTAGGGCGGGGTGATCGGGGGATGACATGTAGGGAGGGGTGATCGGGGGAAGACGTGTAGGGCGGGGTGATCGGGGGATGACGTGTAGGGCGGGGTGATTGGGGGAAGACGTGTAGGGAGGGGTGATCGGGGGATGACATGTAGGGCGGGGTGATTGGGGGAAGACATGTTCGGTTCGTTTTGTTCTGAATTGAAATTCAGATATATCTGAATCTTCGAATAACAAAAAATTTATCTGAATTTCCAAATTACAACACTGACAAATCCAAAATAACTAAAATTCCATCCAGGATTTGAATTCGAAAACAAATTTGAATATTGCTGATTTCCTTCAAAGACGTATTATTAGCCACCTGTCGAAATTCAAATTTTGAAAAGAATAGAATAGAAAAGAATAGCATAAAATAGAATAGAAAAGGAAAAGAATACAAACTAAAATAGGAAAGAATAGAATGAAATAGAACAGAAAAGGAAAAGAATAGACAAGAAAATAGAAAATAATACAATAAAATAGAATAGAAAATAAAGGAATAGACTAGAAAAGAAAATAGAATAGAATAGAACAGAAAATAAAAGAATAGAATAGAAAAGACTAGAGTAAAACAGAACATACTTGAATAGAAAATAAAAAAAATATAATAAAATAGAATAGAAAATAAGGGAATAGAAAAGAATAGTATAGAGAAAAACAGAAACAGAATAGAATTGGAAATAAAAGAATAGAATAAAATAGAAAATAAGGAAATAAAATAAAAAATAATAGAATAGCAAATAAGAGAATAGAATGGAAAAAAAAAATAGAATAATTTTTATCTGAAATTCTGATTCAAATTTGAAAACAGTTTCAAATGTTGCTGATTTCCTTCAAAGACTGTGTGTATTACTGTTAGAATATAGGTGTCTTCTGAAATTTATTTTTTTAAAAGAATAGCATTCAATAGAATACATTTGAAAAGAATAGAATAGAAAAGAATAGAAAAAAATAGAATAGAAAATAAGTGAATAGAAAAGAATAGAATAGAGTAAAACAGAACAGAATAGAAAATAAAAGAATAGAATAACATAGAATAGAAAATAAGGGAATAGAATTAAAAGGAATAGAAAAGCAAATAAAAGAATAGAATATGAAAAAATAAAATAGTTTTTATCTAAAATTCAGATTCGAATTTGAAAACAGTTTCAAATATTGATGATTTCCTTAAAAGACTGTGTGTATTCGTGTTGGAATATAGCTGTCTTCCGAAATTCAAATTTTGAAAAGAATAGAATAAAACAATAGAATCGAATAGAAAAGAAAAGAATAGAAATTAAAGAAATATAATAGAAAATAAGAGAATAGAATTCAATAGCAAATAAAATAACAGAATAGAAAAGAATAGAATAGAAATGAATAGAAAAAATAAAATAGAAAATACAAATTTGAATATTGATTTATTTCAAAGACTGTGTATTTGTGTTAGAATATAGGCTTCTTCTGAAATTTGAATTTTGAAAATAGAATAGAATAACGCAGAATAGAATATAAAGGAATAGAACAGAATAGAATAGAAGAGAACCGTCTTCCAAAATTTGAATTTCAAATAGAATCAATTCAAATTCAAATGCCAGATTGGAATTTTCCGAATTTGGCTGAATTTAACCATTTGCCGCCCGCCCTATGGCCGAATGGTGGGTGGCAAATGTCATCAGCGTTCCGGGTGGACGCCATATGGCGTCCTTCCGCACATGCGCAGATTGCGCTCCTGCAGAGTGGCGCAGTGGCGTGATCTGTCACCGGCCGTGTACCTCGAACACAGCCGATGACAGATCTGAGTATGGGCCCCGTTGCCGGTACCATGTGACCTGCTGTGACCAATCACAGCAGGTCACATGACAGTTGTATACAATGGATGGCTTCATTCATGCCATCCATTGTATACTAGTGTGTCTAGCTGTGAATGGTCACAGCGATCACATGCACAAGCTGGGCCAATCACAGCCCAGCTGTGTCATGTGATTAGCCATGGCCAAATCACAGCTAAGCACAAAAAAAACAACAACCCTGAATGAATTGATGTCATTCAGGTAAATGCTTGCTTATAGCAAAGTAATTCTTTGCTATAAGCAAATTGTGTAAAAAAAAAAAAAAATACTGATCACTTCCCCAAAGTACTACAATGTTACTATGGTAACATTGTACTACTTTGGTCATAGTGAAATATGAAAAAAAAACTTAAAAAAAGAAAAAAAAATTAATAAAAAAAAAAATTATAAAACAAAATTAACAAAATTAAAAAAAAAAAATATATATTTTTTTTTCATACTGTCACCAGTCAGTGTCCCTGATCACCGCCATGCCAGTTATATGATGACGCTGTACTGCACTGGTGACAGTATGTAAAAAAAAAATAGTGAAAATAATTTTTTTAATTTTTACATTTTCCGAAAAATTCGGACAAAAAAAATACA